GCGAGACCAGCGCCCGTTAAACGCGGCAGCGCGCAGCCCAGCGCCCACGCCGAGGAGGCGGCTCTTCCGGCGGAGCCGCCCGGGCCCAGCGTGCTGTGCGCCACGCGTCACTTCCTGCCCCCAGAACCCTCCGGTTTGTAGTCCTCGGCCCTGGTCAAAGCTGGAGGTCCGAGGGTCGCGGGCGGGGGCGGGGCGGAGCTCCCAGGGGAGTAACAGTGAGCCTCGCTGTTCGCTGGGCACCCCTCTCCGCTGCCACGGTGGACATTTCAGAAAAAATTTTTTAAGAGGAAGATGCTCGTGCAGGTGCTCGTTGATAGAAACGGAATCCGCTTTTGCCTCGGATTCAAAGCCGTGACCCCGCCAGGTCCCCGAAGGCTCTGGGAGGTGAGGCGAGGGGCCTGGGAGGAGAGCGCAGAGCCCAGGTATTTCCGCGCGCCCCGTCCGTGCGGGGGCGCTCGGCTCAGCCCTGCGGGCGTGGGAGCGGGGAGGGGACGCGCGCTCGGCGGGTCGCGCCGCCCCCGTGGGAAAGGNGGGCGGGGGACGCGTCCCCGAGCCTCGCTGGCGCCAGGCACGGTCCAGAATTTTTTCTGGACTGTGATCCTGAAAAATGCTACAAGGTGGTAAATGTTCCTGGAGATGGTGAACACCAAGGGAAATTTACAAAAACTGAGAGGACTATCAAACCGTGATGTAGAAGACTTTGAAAATTAATCAGCTTTTTCCTTACTACTTGGAACTTGAGTTTTGTGTAATCCTGAAGTACTATATTGTTTCTTATTGTCATTTTAAAAAAAACAAAAAACTTTCCACCAACCTACACTAACACTCATTGAATGATTGGCTGATTATATTAATGTGGCTTTAGTGGATTAAATTAGATTTTGCCAGTTAAAGTTCTTTGTAAATCTACAAAGAGCTAATAGAAATACTGTTATTATAAAGTGAAGGAAAACGTTTGACCTCGTAAAAATCCAGTTTAAAAGAATTAACAACCATCTGTATTGCACAATGAAAGACTTTATATATATACACATAATTGTTATGTATACATAATTCTACATATAGAAGCTAGCTTCAAGCTGTTAAAGTGATGAGGCAGGGCAATTTCCCTCCCTTCTCTCCTCTCTCCCATTAGTCTCCTAACTAAAAGGCTCATTCTCAGCATCTGCTGATGCAAATCATTGATGGAAGTTCCCTAACACACAAGTTCTCAGAGAAACTCTCCTGTAGCCTGAGGTCACTAAGACGAGATGGTACCTTCTTTCCCGTTGATGCGCCTGGTACATCCCCCATACCAGTTGGTGTCCCTTCTCTCACATTCTCTACTTTTCTCCCTCTCTTCCCAGTCCCTCTCCCTCCACCGCCTTCCTAATGTCTGCCTCCCCCTCAAACCTTCACACACACATTTAATCCCTTCCTCTGCCAATACCACAATTGCTTATTTTAGATTTTGGAGTACATTTATTTTAATTTTAGCAAGAAATATTTTTTAAAGAGGTTTCTTAAGTGCCCTGAAGAAAAGCAAAAGTTTAAAAATTGTCAATAGTCTTAAATTGTTCACTGTTCTTTTTCATTATTATTAATATTTCTTTGATTTCAGATAGAGGAAGGGAGAGAGAGAGAGATGGGAAGGTCAATGATGAGAGAGAGTCATTGATTGGCTGCCTCCTGCAGGCCCCTCACCGGGGATGGGGCCCACAACCCGGGCATGTGCCCTGACCAGGAATCAAACCTCAGTCTCTCGGATCATAGGTAGATGCTCAGCTGCTGAGCCGCGCCAGCCAGGCCGCTGTTCTTTATCATGGTGCAAAGATAAACCTGGCCTGCCCGGGCTAAACTGTCACAAATTTCAATTCACAGTGTTCGAACCTCCACAAACATGGCAGCAAAGGAGAGCAGGGGAGAAGGGCCCAGGAAAATCAGCCCCAGTCTCTGAACTTTCATTCAGGTGGGGGCCGAGGGGTGGACCCACAGCAAGGGCAGCCCCTCCTCTTGACCCCCAGGGAGTTCCAGGCTGTCCTTGGAGCTCAGGAGGTATTTTGGATGAGATGCTTCTGCGGGTCACGGAGATGCTGGGTACTCTCCTGATGCGAATCCCATGCAGAGAACACCTCAGCAGTTTGTATACCTCCATTGTGCCCTGGACCAAGTCCTTTCACCTTGCACGCACATCACGTATTTCTGGCACCGCTCTTACCCACAGCTATTTGCGTCCAGCCTCTGGCCGTCCACGATTTTTAAAAATTGTATAGGCTTGACTCTTGACCTTTTGAGGTGCTTCTTTTTAGAGGATGGTATACATCATATAAATCTTAAGAGAGAACTGAAGACCCTCCTAGCCAGCCCCTGCAGGCCCTGGCCATGGTCAGAGGAAGAGGCTGGGGGTGCTCAACACCGCTGCTGGTGCAGTTGCTGTGGGTGATAGGGAGCCCCCAGGGCCATGCAGAAGGACTGGGCTGGGGGTCCTTGTCTCCAGGCTGGCTTGAGGAGTAGTCATCCTCACTTCCATGCTGGCTGGAGGAATGGTATTCCTGGATTTCAGGCTGCCTGGGGGAGTGGGCATCGTCACTTCCTTGCTAGCTGGGTGTCTGTCAGGGTCTGTTGTCTTCTGCCTTGATGCCTGAACACCCTGAGTTAGGGACAGACTGATGTTGGGGTCAGTGGAGAGGCAGGGCCTTACCCTGATCCTGTGGCCCTTCATCTTGGTTTTTGTACTATCTAGGATTAAATATGTCCCCATATTATTATACTTTCTTTCTGTTACTAACTCCTGTATCTTCTGCTCAAACCCCAGTTTCTTCATTTTTTCTGTGACGTGGGGGGTCCAAGTCACCCCAGGGGGCTCCTATAGTGCCTCAGTTCCTCTGCCTGGCCATTGCTGACCCAGGGGTCCTTCATTATATCTTCCAGGGTTGGTCTTTGGCTGGGGTCGTCATTAATTTTGTTAAAATTTTTTGAGATTCTAAAGACAAAAAGTATGGTACAAGGAAGTGCCCACTCAATGTCTGCTGCTTCTCCTCTTCAAGTGTGTCCCCCTCAAATGGCAGTTTCCCGTCAGCACCTGGTAGAGAAGTACCCCCACACTCCAGACATCAGCCTTGTGCCGTCATAGAGTTTGCACTGCAAGATCTCTGGGGCTGTATAGGAGACGGTGCCACAGAAGGTGCACAGTTTGTCATCTGTAAATTTCCTGCTGAAGCCAAAGTTGGCTAACTTAACATTCATGTGACTGTCTAGAAGGACGTTCCCAGGCTTCAGGTCCCTATGGACTATCCCCTCTGATGGCAATACTGTACTGCTGAGAGTAGTTGCCAGAACATGGCTCGGGCTTTCTCTTCCATCATGAGCCATAGTTCCCCTCTGCTCACGTGCTCCATGAAGACATAGTTTGTTCTTGGTGGTAACTACCTCGAATAACTTTAGGATGTTTGGGCAACTTAAGTCCTTAAGACAATGGACTCCTCATAAAACTCTGGAAGAACCCTGCCGCCTCACAAACTTTCACAACAACCTCAGTGCCAGTCAAAGTCTGCCAGGCCAGCCTCGCCTGGGCAAAGGATCCCTTGCCAATGGTGTGCAGGAGGGTGTAATCACCAATATGGCACTCCTGGATGGCAGAGAGGGCTGCAAAGTATCAGACATGGTGACTCAAAAAGAAAAATAAGGCCCTGCCAGGCGTAGCTCAGCGGTTGAGCAACGACCTAGGATCCAGGAGATCACAGTTCAATTCCTGGTCAGGGCACATGCCTGGGTTGCAGGCTCGATCCCCAGTCAAGGGCGTGCAGGAGGCAGCCAATCAATGACTCATCATTGACGTTTCTCTCTCTCTGCCTTCCTCTGTCTAAAAAATCAATAAAGATATATTTAAAAAAAAAAAAAAAATGTCCACCTCTGAGTTCCTAAAAATGACTACAGTGGTCTAGGCAAGATATAATAAAGTCCTAGCTTAAGTTGATAGCAGTGGACATGAAAAAGAGAAAAAGGGAATAGATTCAACAAATATTTCAAAGGAGAAATCAATGGGATTTAGTGATTGATTGGGGCAAGGGCATGTCAAGAACTTTGGTACTAGGTCTTTCACAGAAATTCTCTTTGTTCTTTTCTTCATTCATAACCCTGCCTTTCTCTTCATTTTTTCAGGATATCAGGCTCCAAATAGTTATTATATTTACTAAATTAAGTAAGAAAATTTCTCCATGGAATAAAAAATGTTTCAATAGCACTTTATCTGTATTTATGGCATGAGGCAGCTCTGAGGTACCTCCTCCAAGCTCTTATAAACTAACTCTAAACATTAAGTAAAATGGATGTGATAAGATCTGTGATTCATCTGCACAAAGAGACCATCTGTAATATGGGTAACCAAAGAATGTTGGGGTGACTGGAAATTCCAAACTAAATGACCTGGTTGCATTTTGTGAAAGCAGGGCTGGACTGGGATTGTATTTTAGTAGATGAAAACTTAATTATATTGAACCCTACTGAGACATTCAGTAACCCAGGGTTGGCAGCAGCAGGAGTAAAAGAAGAAAGGTCAGCAAGCAAAAGATTGGGAGGTATTTCTCGGAGACTCTGAATCTGGAAGATACTTTCCAGAAATATATCCATATAGTGAGGAGTGGATGCTCCATTATGTCTCACCCTGGCCTTGAATAGACACTGTGTCCCTAAAACTGTCTGTCTCTCTATATTCCAATTCCATGCTCACCATGCTGCCTGTGACTCCTCGCTGGTTTTCTAGGTATACTGTTTATCAGGAGACGGAAACATGAGCACTGTCTAGTCAATAGAAAGGGATAGACCAGACATCACACACTAGGGGCCAAAGGTCCTATCAGGACATGAAGAGGCTTAATATCTGCACAGTGTTAAGTTGCTTTATAATTTGTAAGCTTTTAGAAAGGTTTGCTCTCTCTTTGTCACAACTAGTCCCCACCACTGTTGTTTGACACTTGTCTCTTTCATATGTTTATATTGCTTGCCTTGATCCCTACAGGAAATTGAGTTTGCAATTCTGGAATTATTCCTACTACTGTGTAAATAAATAAGTTCGCAGAGTAAATTATACCTGAATCTCTTGTGAGTTTGACTGGTGGAAATCAGCCTCAGTGTGTCTCGTCAACCGTTGGGCCAGTTCAAGGCCAGAACATGGGCTGTGGGTAGTAGCTTCACCAAGGAAATGTCAGTCACAGGATTTACTGTTAGATCTGAATAGTCTTTCCAGGTGACTCCTCCATCTCCTTGTTGCCTTTCCTCCTTTTCTTTTTCCTTTTTTTTGGTGCCGACCGGAAATCGAATAAGCAACCTTTCAGTGCATGGGACGATGCCCACTAACCAGGCCGCACCGGACAGGGCGCTGCGCCTCCTTTTCAGCTGTGCCCCTGATACCGTTTTGTAGCCTGTTGTTATTTACATATGTGTTGGGGCAGTAACTGCAGGTCAGCTCATTTAACAATCCTTTCCCACAACCTCCTGATTAATGAGGCTTGAAAGCTAAAACTCATTCTCAGCTTCCTTTGTAGGTAGAAGTGGCCATAGGAATATTTCAGTCCAATGAGATACACGTGGACATTCCTAGGAAGGCTGTCTCTTCTGAAATAAAAAGGAAGCAAAGCCTCCTAAGAAAGAGAAGGCCTTTTTGTCCCTTAACCATTTCTCCTCCAGCCTGTCTGGCTTGGACATAAGGCCCAGAGGCGAGGCAGCCTCTTGCCACCATGAGGAAACATGCACAAGAAGGCCTCTATGCCAAGCAGAAAAATGCAAGATAAAAAGAGCCAGACTAGACCTGGACTACCTACTTCAGATTGCTTTTGTTTGGGATGAATAAACTCCTGTCAGTTTAAGCAACTGCTTTAAGTGTTTCCACCCCTAACAAAATTTTTCCTAACTTGTCTCCCTAACAAAGTCCTCAGGAGAGTGACCATGCTTTATCTTTATATCCTCTGTACCCTGATCAGTGCCGGCATATAGTAGGCATTCAACATATATTTGCTTAACCAATTAATAAATTTGTTATTCATTGTTAGAAATTGGTACAAAACACAAAATCATAATTTAGGCAGAGAGTTACTTATTTCATCAGTGACCAAGATAAACTAAGAACAGAAAAAGCAAATTAACAGATCAAATTTTAGATAGGCAAAGCAGGCAATAAAGGAACACGTTGCTTTTCCCAAGAAAGTAATTTAAATCCTCTTCACTGAAGAACAGTATTATTATTCTTACTAGTCGTAGTGATAATAAATGCATATGAACTCAGTTTTCATTAACACAGGAAAATCATGAGCTAGGAACTCCCATCATCCCAATTTTACAGCTAAGGAAGCTGAGGCACAGGAGGCCCAAGGCCACACAGCTAGTTAGTGACAGACCCGGGACACAAATCTAGGCAACCAGGCCGGAACCAGCCCCTCAACCACTATACAGTCCCATCATTATCGAGTAATGGCAAATAACGCAAATACAATTGTGCCCTAAAAGCCATTTTTAACTAACGAGGAACATGTTTTTTAACCTAAGCATTTCTAAATCTGAAACACTAGCCCCAGGATGTGCTCTAGTGGGTTGTTTGGACACTCAAAACATTAAGATCATGCGTTTCACTCGTGTTTTAGCAAAGCAAACTTTCCCAGCAACTTCTTTTTCCACAGGTGACTGCGCTGAGGATACACTCAGCCAGACTTAAAGGTCTAAAAACTAGGGACTGATTTTATCCCTTAGGTGGGTAAAACAGTATCAAGCCCCACGCCTACAGCTGCTGTTTAGTCTCAGATTAGGCCGCTATTGCCCGGCCGGGCGTGGCTCAGCGGTTGAGCGCCGACCTAGAATCCAGGCGATTGGGGTTCGATTCCCAGTCAGGGCACATGCCCGGGTTGCGGACTGCAGCCAATCAATGACTCTCAGATTAGGCCACTATCAATGACTCAAGATAGATGCAAGTGGTTTAATTATATTGAAGAGCTGTCTTAATCAGACTTACACCTTAAGGAAGGCTAGTGGTACTAAACTTTTTTTTTCTACCTAGTGCATTTATCCTCTTGGCCTCCTCCAATTATCCTCAAAGGGTTTATTATGCATGTGTG